ATTATTTTAAGATAATGAGTCATTATTTTTGGATAATAAATAATTATTTTAAGATAATGAGTCATTATTTTGAGAAAGTTTCTCATTATAATGACTTACAGAATCCTTTTTCTCGTCATATTGGCAGAAATGAACTTCCATACCTTTTGATAATCGGTGCTTTAAGCAGCAAAGAAACAACTAAACTGCTTTAAAAGATTTCTGTACATCAATATTAAAGTAAATTACATGTCTGACTACTGAAAATGAATAATATTAAGGGCTGGATGTTAAATTGTCGGCTCACTTTCTCACAAAGCGAATAAAAGACAGTAAAAAGAAATTAAATATTGTGTATCTGATCTGACTGAACTTCCACTGGAAAACATTTATAAGATTACGCAGTAAAATCTATCAGCAAATGTGACTCATATCACAATAAAAATGCATTCGCAGCTTTAAAAAAAATACATAAAAGCAGAAGTCTGCGTCTATTTCTCTGATTGTCGTTTTTTTAATATAATAAGTGTCTACGAGTCTGTGCAGCGTCTGTAGAAGTGGAAGTGGTAGTCAGTGAAGAGCGCCCCCGCGAAGTGATGGTCAGTACTGCAGTCTGCTTGACCCTGAGGAGAGACACACGTTATATTATACACTGTAAAACTAAATCTGTAGGTTTTCAGGGTTTTTCTGTTTATTTTAGAGATTTATTTTACAGATTTTTTCCTGTATTTTTTTAAATACATGGAAATATTAAGTAAATTACAAACATATCCTGTGAATTTAGATGTCTGATGTCAAATAACGTGAAAAAACTGTAAATGATCATAAAATTACTGCTTATTTAAAGTTAATTTCCACATAAAAATACTATTTACTGTTTATTAAATAGATTAAATTGTTAAATTCAAGTTTAATACTATTAATAGTTTTAAAATATGTAACATTAGTGACATTAACAGTGAAAATATTTTTATTTTTTGTGTAATTTTACATGGATTTGTTTGTTAATTGACAGATGTTGTATAATTATGAAAGTTTTCACAACAGAAACATTGAATAAATGTTGTTTATCAGTGTATAAGCATTGGTAAACTGTCAAAATACAGTTTTTATCAGTGAAAACAGAGATTTGATGTTAATAATCAAATGATAATAATAAATGTTCCTTACAGCCACTGTGGAACGAAAGTGGTACGAGCTGTGATAAAGACGAGACACGTGAAGAGGCCATTCGTGTTCGCCCTGCAGAGACAGACAGACAGACAGACAGGCAGACAGGCAGACAGAAACACAAAGTCAGCTTCAGGTTTATTCAACGATTTACAATAATTAAATTATAGTTAATTTAGTTTTGGCCCATTAAATACATTTTAATGTTGATATTTCACTACTTTTCTCTGCAGAATGGTAAATATCCGAGTATATCTGCTGTATATTTGTATCACTGTGATATTCGTGAACTGTGATTAGCATGTTGTCGTCCCGACACGAGGGGGAAACCCTGCCACTCATCCATTATTCATCAGTGTTTCCCAACACTTCCTGCATTATTAACTGTGATGGTAACTGAGTTGGTGGACTGGAACCTCAGTGACCCTAAAACCAACTCACAATCCAATTTACCTCAATGAGTTCACAGCTCAGGGCGGGAAATTACACAAACACTCTGTTTACAGGGAGCCGCCAGGTTGCCTTCGATAAGTGTATTTACTAGAGAGGAAATTTTAATTGTTGTTTACTTGAGAAAGTCCATTTTCTGCCAATTTATACTTCTACTTATGCATTATTTTAGAGGGAAATATTGTACTTTGTGTTTCTTTTATATATTTTCTTAACACCACTTTAAATTGCCTTAATTCCCCGAATTGATTCAATTACAATTTGATTTGATTTAAGTGATTGAAGTGTTTAGTGCAGCAGTCACAGGTCAGATTATCCGAGCTAAATTGTCAATAAACAGCCTGACCAATGAGGAATTATTGATTTGATTCAATTTGAAATACTTTTTTATAATAAATAAGGTTGAAGTCAGGTGGCAAAAGTACTTTACTCGAGTTGAAGTGTAAAAGTACAGGCTGAAATTAAATAAAGGTAAAAAGTACTTACTCTGTGCAAAGCTAACTGGAACTTCAACTTTTATTACGTCTTTTAAGCCGATTTTGGCATTTTAAAAACTGCAGTAAAATGTTGGTTGGTGCGATACAAACAAATGAGCCTTAAAATAACTGCTAACGGTGCCTCATTATGAACCATAACCAGTTTTACATTGTGAATGTTAGAAATAAAGCTGTGATAGCCTAAAGTGTATTCAAAATCTATTATTTACCTGTGTGTTTGAAGGGTAGCTGGTTCCAGTGACAGTGTTTATATCCAGCAGAGCAGAGCAGGACGCTGACTCATCAAAACTACACAGGTGAACCACCAGCAGCTCGGTGGAGCTACGAAGAAATAAAAATAAATACATCGGAAAATTTTTAATTTCCTGTCACGTCTTTAGTTTCATCTTCTTAATCACCTCAGTTGACACAAACTGTTAACTAGCTGACAACCCAGCAGCCTAGAAGACACACTGACACACTGTTAACTAAGTTTTACATTGTGAACACACCAATTCAACACACATTTAAGATAATGTTGTTTTTTTACAGACAATCAGGACTTACTTCATGATTAAAGTGACTCTCATGTTGACTGGAACAAACGGGCTGATGGGAACTCTGTAGGCGAATCTACCTGGTCTGAAGGAAACAAGACGGGGTGACGAGAGACTGAATCAAAACTGTTTTTTTTTAACAAGCTTTCATGAGATATAATATAGTAATGATGGTTTCTTTACTGACCCACATTCGTCTCTCAGGCAGTATTTTCTGTCAATCACCTGCTGGTTCTCTTTGATCATAAAAGACTGGATGGTGGTGTTTGTCCCTGATGGAGAGAGAATAATAGAAGATATATGTAAAATATAGTCTCTAAAATGTTAAATAAAATTCAGCTGACTCCAACTGAAGCTCTTATAGTGAATGACATATTCAAAGCTACAAAGTCCTATTAATTTAAAGAGTTAAAGCTGTAATCTGTAACATGTCCTCATTAAACAGTGTATAAGTTCTGGCTCTATGTTCTGTATGTAGTTGGGTTCTTCCATTATCCCAAATGTTTCCAACAATGTTCAAACTCAGAGAAATCTGTCATTTTATTCAGGTAACGCTGCGTTTCACCGGTCGCCTGTCGATGGCGTCATATCCCCTTTGTGCCTGCGTCAGCGTTTGTGGTTGTCTGCCAGAAGCTGTCATTACACTTGACTGTTTATTCGTCTGAAGGCCCAATTGTACCCATCCACTTTTTAGATTTTCTTGGGTGCTTTTTTAAACTCTAGATTTTGAACCGATGGTATAACTGGTTGAACTCATTCTTTTGTAAGTCTCATTTTTCAGATGAACCTCTTTTGGACATTTTCTGGAATTTCTTTTATGCAAGGTTTACGCAAAAGAGTATGCATCAAAGGAACTTAAGGCTTTGATTTAATTACCTGGTATCAATTAGTCCAACTGACTGAGTGCGAGAGGAAGGAATGAGCGAGTTATTCATTTTTATTTTCAGATATGTGTTGGGAGGACTTGCATCATCTGTAAAGACAACTTGGGAGCTCCAGTCTGCATGGGTCTTTTATGTTAATATTGTGGTCTATACTCGAGCAAGTCATTGTCTTGGTATTTTGGATATCATTTTAGCCACAAGGCCTAACAGAACAGACCTTATTAATGTCAAATTATAGATTAGTCTAGTGTATCCGTGTATGTATTTAGGCTCCTGAATATCACACAGAGTGGTTAAGGCCAAGAAGCGAACAACGCGCGCGCCTCTCGCCCCCCCCCCTTTAGAATATCTTGGGTCACAGAAAGAAAATCTTAAATGCCGTTTCAAGAAACAACAACACTCAGCGATGAAATCTGTGATTGTCGTTAAGCACAGATCTGATGGTCTCCAATTGTGTTAGAAAACTGTAAGTACAAGTTCCTTTTGTACCCAGAATCCTGCGGATGCACTGACGTTGTGTCCGTGCACTGGCATGTCCAGGGGCCTCAGTGGACGAGTTGTATAGCACACTCGGAATTCAGAATGCTTCTCAATAGGTGATCTCGGGGTGCTTCACCACTCCATCCACCTCAACAGATTTCATTGTTTTTTAAGTTTTTTGCAGCTAACAAATTTTTGATGTTCAGTAACACTGGATTGATCATCGCTATATACACAAACACTTAAATTTATGCCACATCGCTATGAGTCCATAGAGGTGTTGTCAAACAACTGAATTCAAACTCTACCAGCACACAAGGATCGTTCGGTTGATAGAAGCAGGAAGTTAAAGCTTACACTCGGCTAGCCACTGCAGGGTCAAGAGGTACTCGTACAGTCTCACTTCTATTACAGCTCGCGCGATCCTACTCAAGCAGTCTTTTCATACCTAGCCCTATGACTTGTTGTAAGGCACATTGACCAACATATGCATCTTTGAATGTTCCATATACTGATGCTGTGTTAAACGACTTAATCGCCTAGATGTTTAGACCCATGCGCCAACATAAATACAGTCGGATATGTTTTGGTCGGACGCGGTATGCATGGTGTGTATACAGATGCAAAGAGCTAGGGATTTGCTGCATTGGTCGATGACGCTGTGGTTACCGGCTAAAGTGGTGGGGAACATCTCCTTGCTTCGAGCGGCTTGTTGTTGTGTCTAGTAGGAGGGGGGACAGTGGACCCCAGCGGGGTAGCCTGTCTTTGGCTAGTGGCCCATGCCTCAGGAGCTGCCAGCAGCCACCCTCTCGAGACGCACTGCCAGTTAGGTGCTCCTGCGCTGCAGGTCCAACAGAAAAGTGCTGACCACAGTGGAGGAGCTGGTGCCGCTCTCAGCTTGTGAGCCGAGGACAGGGACGTCGGTATGTTCATGATTTATCATGGTGGTCTAGTCAGGATGTGGTAATAAAACTTACAACGACTTAGAGAGGATAAGCTCGAAGATCATTAATAGTAAAGAGTATCTCAATAGCAACTCACCTTGTATGACATACCAAAATTATCTGTTATAAACTTTTTCATGGGAACACGCTCACTATCATATCCATATGGCTTTCAAAAGAAGTTATGGATTAGTACTTGTGGCTGTCTCAAAGTCTCTAGCTGTATTACATGTGCTCTATACTTTATGATTGGACTCTAGTTACTAGTTACTACGGTAATTGCCTGTGCTACTCCGAAGATTACTGGCACGAGTCATAAGACTCTATTTGCCTGTACCACACTACAATATGAACAATGCAGGGAAGAATAGTACTTGTGATAATACCAGAAATCTTGAGATCAATGTGTGAAAGAATGTAGAAAAATGTGACATGAAGCAATAAAAAGCTATCTTTGGGTTGCAGGTTTTAGGTTTACCTTGTGTGCTCCAGCGAGATTTATAGCTGGCGGCCTCTGCGGGGCATGAATGGTTACACACGGCTGGGGTTGGACCTAGGTACACGCCCTGCGTTCTAGATCAAGAGGTTCAAATGGAAGCAACATTCTCCATGTAAATCAGAAACAAAACAAATAGCAGATGCCGGTTGGCAGCGCGGACAACCACAAACAGAATCACTAGAAGTTGGTGTCGCTGTAGAATGAATGTAAACTAATTAGTAAATTAAAGAAGCTTCTATTATTTGGATAAACATGAAAAAGGCCCCATTAAAAAAAGGTTATACCCAGTATCTTTGCTCTATCAGGGTTTTACTGACTTAATCTTGCTCCATGTCGCTCGGGTTAGCCATTGGCAGTCGCTGAAGACCTGCTGCTATGTCTCCCCCCCAACACCCCAGTAATGCGACCTTACTAGGTGTGCTATGGCATAACCTCAGGGAACATGACTGCACACCTCTCAGCGTGCACAAGACGTAGGATATAGACAGACGGTGGAATATACTCTGTCAAAGAATGGCACACCCGCTTCAGATTGTGTTGTGGAGTCTTAGTTGGGTTAAGTAGTAAGCGTGGTTCGCTTGTATGTGTAGACCAGGTAGGTTAATCCTGTGAGCCCGTATATCTGTTTTTATAATTATGGCTGTAGTGTAGAGAGAGAGAAGCTCTAGAGTGTAGGGTTTTATCCTCGAGTTAAGGTTGCGTCTAAATAGAGTACATCGCTTATGTTATAATCTTCACTGGCTTGAGATTTATGTGATGTCGATGCTCGGTATTGATTGTTTGGTTCTTTGAGAGTATAGAATATAGATGAGGGTTTTGTTTTGAGAGATGATATACATCTAAATAAAAAGTTTGATGATTTAATGAGACGCGTGTTGCCAGCAAACCTGATGCCATGTGGAGTGAGAGGCTATTCTTGATCAGTCGCACGATCTCTTGTTACAAGTATTTGGTGACGATTAATGCGCCTAGATTAATCCGATGCGCGGATGTGCTGCAGATGAGTCG